GGGGGAGAAACTGAGTTGATGGCACGGGGGTGACAGGACACAAACCCACCCAGGGGGAGAGTGTTGGTCGTGTCCCCACAGAACTGGAACGTGCATACAGACCCCACCATGACATGCCAAACCAGGAGGGCAACGTAATGCGCAGAGGAATCCACAAAGAGACTGGACCATATGCTGGCCCTAACCAGAATCAGCCTGACCCTCACCATGGAAGGGAGTACCACAGAAAATGAAAATAGATCGTCTGGTGTTGGAAAGGAACTGACCTATCACACCACACCCAGAAGGAAGCTGAAACAAAGGAAGGAGGAAGGATGGAGCGGAGCACCATTTGGGCCCACCAAGCTCAGAGGATGATAGCCCAGATCGGAGAGGGCCCAATGTACAGAGAGGACTATACAGCTGGCCCCACCATGAGATGCGACATCCTGCACTGACCCATGGCCCTACACAGGACAGCCCCGGAGACACAGTGTGGGATGCGCGACTGAGCTGACCCCACCACACTGAGGCAAAAACACTGGGGGTGTGAAATGGAACGGTGGGTGAAGCAGAGCAAGGAGGTCACAAGGGATTATAAAGGATGGACTTTGAGGCCAGGACGTGGCACCCCATCAGACGTGTCCTGAAAGCACTCCTAAAATTCAACAAACAGATCTTGAACTACTAATAGGCTTTTTTTTTTCTGTCTTTTTGTTTTGTTTTTTCTTTTTTTCTCTTTTAATTTTTGTATGTCAGCGGCTTTTTTGTTTGTTAGCATGTCGGTGTTGCTGCCGTCATCACCATGTTCTTATGTGCCACTATGGTGCTGTCAAAGCCATCCCCAATTTTATGCACATATTAATATAGCTGCAGGTCCACTTGGATAAGATAGGCTGGACAAACAATGTGAGAAGAAAATAACGGGACCAATATCCCGCAGGGACATGAGAATGTGGGAGGTAGGGGAAGGGAGGAGGTGTTGGTTAGCCCAGGGACAGGAGAACAATGATTGGTTCAAAACCAGTGTCAGGGAGGGTATGGGAGGACTGGTAGGGAGTGATCAAGGGCAAGGTAAAAGAGGAATTACTGAAACCAGAATGAAGGCTGAACATGGTAGTGGGACAGGAGGAAAGGATAGGGAAATAGAGAAAATGAGTAGGAGGCAAAAGGCATACATAGAAGCCTAAATACAGACATGTACATATGTAAATATATTTATGATTATGGGTGGAATGACCTATGTGCACATATTTATAGGTCTAGTAGTAGGGTAGCAGGTGGACATTGGGCCTCCTCATGCGCATTCCCTTAATACAAGAGCACCTTGCTCAGCTAAACGGTCATTTCATGATACCCACCCTCCTGACATGATCGCTGAAGACATGTGTGCATGAGCAAACGTGGTGAAGAAAGCTGATGGTGCCCCGCTGTCAAAATATATAGCGTCTGGGGTCTTAAAGGCTTGAAGGCAAACAAGCAGCCATCTAGCTTAGAAGTAACAAAGCTCACATAAACGCTGAAGACGAAGGTGTGCATAAGTAAGTGTGGTAAAGAAGGCTGATGGTGCCCATGTCTGGAGTCTTAAAGTCTTGAAAGTAAACAAGCAGCCATCTAGCCCAGAAGCAATTAAGCCCACATGGAAGCAGTACACCAACATGTGTGATCATGAGGGGCCAAGGGAACCAGGTTTCAAGCACCAAAAGCGGGGGATAGGGGGGGGGGGAGCGGGAATCATGTCATCGTGAATGGAGAGCGCATGATGGGGACACAATGCCCGTCTGAAGACAACTGGTCATCCATTGCAGAGGGGTAGTGGGGAGGAGATGGGACACTCAGGGTTCAGTGTAGCAATAATGAAACTCACAATCTTCCTCTAGTTCTTAAACACTTCCTTCCCCCAACTCTCATGATCCCAATTCTACCTTACAAACCTGCTTAGACCAGAGGATGCACAGCGGTACAGATGGGAACTGGAAACGCAGGGAGTCTAGGACAGATAAGCTCCTCAGGACCAGCGGTGAGAGTGGCGATACCGGGAGGGAAGGGGTGGTAGAAAGGGGAATAGATCATAGGGATCTACAAGTAACCTCTCTGTGGAATGGGCAGTGGAGAAGTGGGTGAAAGGAGACGCCGGGCAGTGTAAGATAAGATAAAATAATAATTTATAAATTATTAAGGGTTCATGAGGGAGGGAGGGGGAGG